ATAAAAAGTTTAGCATTGAAAAATAATCAATTAACAAATAATAATGATAATTAGAAGTATTTGATTAAAGAATAAGAAATTTGACTATAATTCTTAATAATAAATTTATTTGTTAGACAATAAAGTGAATAATGATTATCAAATTGATAAAATTGATTATAAATATATAAATTATTTTTGAAGATAATTTTTAATAAAGAATTACTAATAATTAAATTATTAATTAAACTCTTGCATGGGAAAGCTACATGGAACATTGGCAAAAGCCGGAAAGGTCAGAAAATAAACACCAAAAGTTGAAAAGTAAGTGAGAAGACACAAAATTCCAAAAGGTAGAGCTTATAAAAGAATATGTTTTAATAGAAGGTAATAAAACTTTGAATATAATAAATAAGATTTGGATCAGCTACAACAACTTAAGGACCATAATAGAAGAGAAAGGGTCCAAATTGGCATGCTGGTAGAAAAGAACTTGTTGAAGAAGAAAGAAAAAAATAAGTTGAATAAAGAAGACAACGTAAGAAATAAGATGGAAAATGATGACTTTAATGTCCTTAATATATAATAATAGTCAGATTTCTTTTCAATTTTATTTATTAAAGAATATATTATAAATTCTAACCAAAAATAAATTTATTTTATTTAAAGAATTGCAGAAAATAAAAATGATTCTAGATGAAAATGAATAATAATAAAATCAAATATCCTAAAAGATAAGTATTACTTACTTTTTTTAAACAATAAATTAATTAGCATAATTATGAAGAATATGGAATATATGTGTATATATTGATCATATATTTGTTATTTATAACTCATTACATAAGGTCGACATATTCTTATCTTAAGTTTTCTGTGAATTTTTATGTGAATCCAAAAGCATGTTAATGAACTTATTTAATTTCAGGAATTGAGAGCATTTATTTTAAGTATTAATGAAGATGTGGATATGTAGCTAGATCAACATTTAACATAAATAATGTTACCAATTCACAAATTGCTCTAAAGAATTTATATAAATATTTACGTCAAATCAGCTATAGTTGGTTCTGGAAATCCTAAAATATATTTATTTTTTCCATTTCCCAAAAAGATTTCTTCAAAGGCTTTTAGATACCAATCTAATTCCTTAAATCTTTCATCCTTATTTTCTGGAGCTGCTTTTCCAAAGAATTTAGGATAGAATACAAAATCTCTGGCTGTTAATGTAATTTATCTTGTTCCTGTATGATGCCAATCAAGATATTAATCAAGTCTGGCTTATTCTACAATGTCAGAAGGATAAAACTTTTCAAGCTTGAATTTCCTAGCTAAATATTTCAATATTGTATGTGATTCAAATAATACTATCTCACCATCCACAATTGAAGGCACATTACCTGTTGGTGATATTTTTTTGTATTCTGGAGTATTTTACTCTTGTTTCATTAAATCAATATTATGTAAATCATGTGGTATATTGCCAAGAATCAATAATGCAAGAACAGCTCTTGATGGTTAGGAAATTGGATTGAAATATAATTGAATTGACATTTTAATTAATCAATCATCTGACAATTATTTCAACATAAATAAACATCGGAATTTCTTTTATCCTAAAATAGATATTCAAAATATTTTTTTATTTATTCAATATAAAAATAGCATTAATTTACAAAATATTATTAATATATATCAAATCTGATCAAATTAATATGTTCAAAAATTTTATTCTTTTCTATTTTATTATTCAAAGAATTTTTATGCAATATATTTTTCAATTTATTTCCAAAAACAAATATTTTATATTAAAATCAAAAAAAATATTCTTTGTCATGATATAAGTTTTTGGTTAATATTTTAGTTATTTATGTTTTGGATAGACCTTTATCAAATATTATAAATAAAACATACAATAAATAATTTAAAACCTCTTTAATAAACTCTCAATGTGCAAATTATAATTTTAATTTATTCATTTTATCATATAAACTTTAATATATTCGTTATTTTTTCTCAAAGGATAATTTATCAAAAATTTGTTAATATTCCTAATTTGCCTTACCAAATAATAATGCATTTTATTATAAGTTTATTTATATTCATAGGATGCACTCAAACATCAGTATGAATATAAGAAAGAGATTATCTTTATATAAATAATTATTATTCATTATATATACTTCTAATAAAAAATAATTAAATAAACAAATAAATGATAAATATAAATTGGGAAAATATATAATCGTTTGATATCAAAAAAGTTACATTCGATGAACTTTAATTTCAAATGAATAATATATATTAAGCTTAATTAACAGAGAGCAATCGCAAAAATTATCAAAAGTTGGTTAACCTTTTATAATTGATAATTTTTTATAATGAGTACTGCAATTTTTAAATTAAAGAAACCACTTCTTAATTAGATTCCGATATTAAAAAAATTGATTAGGAAATTACAGAGAAAGAAGAAAAATTATTAAAGAGTAAAAGACATTACTAAAAATGTAAAATATATAGAGAGGAATTAAAAAAGCAACTCAAATTGAAACCTAAAAAAGTGTTTGGATGTTTACATTGTAATTATGAATTTTAAAATACTATACTATTGGATAGACATATGGAGATTCATAAAGAGCCTCCAAATATAACTCCATAAATTTTAGCAATTTAAAAGGAATTACAATAATAATTAGTATATATGTATTAAGCAAAACAACAAAGAAAATAGTTAGAATTTTAAAAAGAAGATTTGAAATGCGGAATGTTGGCAGCTGCAGGTATGAAAAAATAATAATTTTAGAAAGAAATTAAGAATTGGTATCAAATGAAAAAATGGATTAAATTTAAAAAGTTTATATATAAAAAATAAAGAAATTGGAATCTGTATTAGATCATTTAAATGAAGAAAATGATAAATTCTAATATCAAAATGAATGGTTGGATAATCTTGAAGAAGGGATTAAAGAATAATTGAATTTAAAGAGAGAATAAGAGAAACTATTATAGACTTAAATCAATTCTTAAGTATAATAATCAAATGTTTTCAAAAGTTAAAGATCATTGTAAATTTCAAAAAAAGAATTAAGAGTTCCAAGTAATACAAGCTTTAAACAATAATCATAGCTTTTTATTTAATCATAAGTTCGTGGATCAAATCATTAATTTCGTAGATCTAGAGATGGAATGGAATATGCTTCTGATGATTCTCCAAGAGAGGAAATCATTTTAGAAGAAGATGATATGATTAAAGAACCTATTGAACATAAAAAAAATGAATCTAGTGTTTCATAAAATTTAAAGCCAAAACATTCTAAAAATCCATCTGGAGTTTCATTTTAAGAAAGTAATTTAAAAGGTTTAACTAAATTTGAATAATATGAATACAGATATTAAGAATTTAATAGTTTGGTTACAGAAATGCTTTTAAATAGATATTATTTGAGAAGAACTTAGTTTGATCAAAATGTTATTGAAAAAGAAAAGAAAAGATTATTTGCTTAATTTGATGATTTAGATGAAGTAGATGATTTGGAAGATCTATTATAATAATTGCAAAAACAAACTAAAGGTTTTGAGAAGAGAAAAAGATATTAAATAAAAAAGAAAATACTAGATTAATAAGATTAATAGGAGATTAAATAAAAAGATAATACTATAACTACTTTGGAATCAAGTAGTGAAGCTGAAGAAAGTTAGAAAGATAAAGATGAAAATGATGAACTTAGAAATACTTAATAATTTGAATTACGAAAATTTCCATTTTAAATTAATGGAGGGGATAACGAAAATGCAAATTAACAAATGTAACATTAAGATCCATCTTAAGGATATGGAGTAAATACATTTAGTATAAATTATTGAATAAAATAATTATTAAATAATACATTAAAATCGAAAATTATAATCTCACTTATAATCATTTCATTATTATAATGCATTTGTATCATTTTACACTAAAATCAAAAATTTAATTCTTTAAAGTTTTATCCATAAATTTTAAAATTCTATTAGCTTAGAATTTTGGTGTATTTTTTTGATACTATTCTTTAAAAATTGGGAATCAATATTAATATATTACAATTATACGAACTAATTTATCTAATTGGATATGAGGAAATATACCAAATACCATTATTCAAATAAAAAATATTGAATTTTAATGGGTTCTTCAGTAATAATATTCATTATTATAAAATCTAATAATTCTGATTGATTTGGTATTAAAAAATTAATAGATTTATGTTAAAATTTTCTTAATTTCATATAAGATCATATATTCCTACTGAAATATTAAAAAATATAAATTAAAAAATAATAAAAATTTTTATATTAAAATCAAAAAAATTATTCTTAAGACCTAAATGTTATTTAATTTTTCTATCAGTAAATAAAGTATTATTTTATAATTTGCTTAACATTGTTTTTTTATTACTAAAATAAGATAAATTATTCTAATTTACTTTCCCTAATAGAAAATAAATTATGAAAATAAATCTAAAAATATATTCTTAAAACTGGTCATTAATAAAATAATTTAAAAACAATAAAATACAAAATTTTATTCTTATATGTATGATGGAACTATTTTATAATAAATTTATATTTATTTGGAATGAAATAAGAATTAACATAAATATTTTAAATGAATGATGTAAAAATAGATGATCATTATACCAATCCTTTAATAAAGTCATTTAATGGAGCATTTTTAATCATACCATAAAACATTTAATTAGCCTATTTGATTTGTGGTAATTAAGACATATGTTATACATAATTTTTAAGTCCTGGGAATTTATCAAAGCTATAATTGAAAGCAAAAAGTGCTTATAATTCAAAGATTAAACTAAAATAATAATAATTTTAGATACCTTAAATCAGCAATTGTCATTTTAGGTTAATTTTAAAGATATTTAAATTTGCCTTAACCTAAAAATACATATTCTATAAATTAAAGAATAGATTCCATCTCTTTCTCTTATGCATCTTAATCTGGAGGGGCAGGTCTATTCATCATTTTAGGTCCAATGATATAGGTGAATATAAATTTGGAAACAATTTTAGTTCCAGTATGATGCCAATCTAAATAACATTCAATTTTTGCAATTTCTTAAGGATCCTAAAATAGAAATAATAATAAAAAGTTACTTTAGGATAAAAATCATGCAACTGATATTTATTTACAATATATCTAAGAATAGCATGACTCTCAAATAATTTGAATCCATCATCATCTATAGCTGGTACTGATTAACATGGGTTAATAGCTGTATATTCTGGTGTAAGGTTCTCTTATTTTTGAAGGTCCACAATTTTTGCTGTATGAGGAACATTTCCCAAAGTTAACAAAGTAAGTACTGCTCTTGAAGGCATAGAAATTGGATTGTAGTAAAATGTTAGTGTGTTACTCATAGTTAATACAAGGATATTAAAATAATTATACAAAAAGTATGCTGACATATAACATAAATAATTATTTTATAAGAATTTGGAATATTCCTCATATCTTATTATTAACATATTATTTTAATATTTCTGCAAAAGTCATATTGAAAGTAGTTAGGGAACCTGCATACAAACATCTCATAAAATATCCTCTAAATAAAGCTTAAATTCCTTCATCTATAAATATTCTCCAAATTCCATGCAATTAATTCTTGTAATTGAAACATTCTGCTCCTTATTAATTTAGATTCAACTTTCGAGATTAAATTTAGATTCTCATTTTACTAACTGAAAGAGGCTACGTAAAAATAGATGAAAAAAAGAATGCTCCCAAAGAAGATAACAGAGCATTATTATTAGTCTTTTCTTTAATTCAATATCATATTAATACCCTTTAAATATTCAAAACTTGCAAAATACAAAGCACTATATGGGCCAAAAAATCCTAATGTGGCTCCAAAACCTATTAATTAAATATTTGATTTAACCTCTGTATAAGCCTAATATTCCTTCCTATTTTACTATTTATATCACAGCATCAACAGATCCACTATAATTATGATTTCCAAGTTTTTTTTAAACTTATAACCTTTCTTTTACAACATCTATTGGAAGCCATAGAATACCACTTACAGTCTCAGCTAATAATCCACAACAAAGATGTAAAAATAGTTTTGATTCAATTTTATTGCTTATTTGTATCTTAAAATATTTGTAAGAAGTCAAATATAAAGAAAAAGCAGGCCCACTTCCTATCTTTATTAATTAATATTCATACTATTGCAATCAAACCTCCTTTATAAAATTGCTTTATTCCACCTTATTAATATACATTTCTAAAGCTTTTTTGGACATCATTCAAATTCATTTGTATAGGCTTTCTTTCCACCTTTAATTAATTAATCAAATAAAACTTTACATAAAACTATGCCTTTACTGTATCCAAAGGATAACATAAGAATTTACCAATTATTCCGGATATTGTACTTGCTATTGATTCTGTTAATAAGGAATTCATAAATTTAATATTTATATAAATAATTACAGAAGCAAAAATAAAGAATATAAAAGGTATCAACATTTTGTCATTATATTTTACCATACTATTGCCTAAGGAAATCTGTTTAGTATTTAGTAATTACTATGTGTTTTTTAGTTCTTTTATTAAGAGTAGTAGTCTTTATAAAATTTTGATTATTTTGAGTATTTGATTCTAATGGCTATTTTAAATACTTTTATGGTATATTCATATACTTCATTCTCACTTAATTATTAAATAATTTTACTTTATTCTACAATTTTTCTTAATTCACTAATTTCTATCAAATAATCATTCTCATTTTCAATGGTTTTTTTTCTAGGAGTATCTAATTGATTCTCTTCGTCTATTTATTCTTCAATTGCTTTAATATATTAAATTAACAGATTTACGTGACGATGGAAGATAAAATGCAGTTTTTTCATATCGAGGGGATATAATTGTATCATTCTATTAGCAAATCAATTATTTATAAGCCATAATTAAATCTGATGCTACCTTAGATATATTTTGACAGTCATTCTTCATCGTTAAATTCTAATATAATTATTTTAATTAAAATGATTCCTGAATAATAACAAGGAATAACAGAGGAAGAGAAAGAACTCATTCTTATTGAAGAGTTATCATAAAAATTAGAAGGGTTATATAAAGACATGGAATAAATTAGAAGAGAAAATCTTCTATTTGAATCTTATATTATGCGAAACTCCAAAGACTTACAAAGAGAAGATGAAGCAGAAGATAAAAAATAGAAAAACAAAAAAAAAAATTAAACTGTTGATAAAAAAGTAAACTATTTTAAGATTACATTAGGCAATGTAATTGACAAATGAAGAAAAATATGAAATAGCTCAATTTGAGAGTGACACTTTAAAAAAGAATATAGAAGAAGGCAGAATTAGATCAGATCAAATATTAGAAACTTTAAGAGTAATTCTTTTTAAATTTATATTTAGGCTATCTTAGAAGAAACAGATAAAGCAATTACTGAAATTAGAAAAGATGCTTTTGATTTTTAAAGAGAAATATTATTTGCTGGAGAAAATACTAGAACTGGTAAAATAGAAGCAGAAAGAATAGAAAAATATTTCAAAGAAAAATTAGCATAAAAAGTATTAAAAAATTACATTTTATTTTAGGATGCATAAATAGAAAAATATAAATAAAAAAAAGCAAATATTGAATAATAAATTACCAAAACTAGCAATTAAATATAAAAAAAAGAAGAAATGGGAGATGATTTAAAGTTTATTGATTTTCATCAATTATAAATTGAAAATAAAAAATATGTTAAATAAATAGATGAAAAAAATAAAAAATTACTAGGATTAAAAATTGCTACTGGTAAAATATCCTCTGTTTTAATTGAGGAAAGAAATTAACTATAAAGTGAAATTGATTAATGTAATAAACTTATTTAAGAAATTGATGACAAAAATAAAAAAATTGCTAAAACTTAAGAATAAACAAAAAAAGTTAAAACCTAAATATCATCTTTAACAGAGAAGAAAAAAAAATTTGCTATTTAACTTGAATAAGTGAATAACGCTACTAACGAAGATATTCCTAAAGTATTTATTATTTTCATCATTTAGGCTATGACCTACGTTTTACAGAAAAGAAAAGAAGAAGAACTTGTGTATAAGATTAGAAACACAAATCGTAAAATTGAAATTGCAGAATTAGCTTACTAAAAAGCATGTAAAGCATTAGGTTTGAATCCAATATAATAATGAGCTAAATTAAATTCAAATTAAAAATAAAAGAGTTTACCTCCTTATTAATTTATATTAAACTATATTAATTATGATTATAAACTTTTAAAGCTTTTCTATAATATTTATAATCAAGAACTCTATAATAAAATTATTTTATTTAGAAGATATAACCTAATTTCTATGAGGCTATATAGTTTTATTTAAATAATAAATTTGAAATTGTTTATTCCAAATTATTTGAATCTTTGATTAAATCAAATTAATGAGATTAATCACTTAGTTAATTATTTAGATAATATTTTCAAACAAATTAAATTCATGGAAAATCGAATATATGTTTATTTTAACCAAATAAATAGTATATTCGAACCTCAATAAATTACTTTTTTATTTAAATTTAATTAATTATAAATATATTATCACTTAAATGATGAAAAAAATATTACCTTTGGCATTGTTTACAAGTTACAATAAATGCGTTGCAAAAAATCTTAGATTAGAAGTTCTTAATGGAAATTAAGATGATTACTAATGCTATTAAGTAGAAAAAGGACATTATTTAAATTAATTTTTGATCAATATTGAATAATTTACATAAAATTTAAAAGAGACAATAAATGACTGTAAATCGAAAAAAATGAAAGCAATATGGATATAATTAGATTAAAATTAATTAGCTCTTGCTGAAAAATTAATTGAATAAGGATTTTAGATGCATCATTGCACATAAAATTATTTATTATTTTCATAATGGATAATTGAAAATGAAAAAAGTAGATTGCCAAATTATACAACTCATTAAGTTGGAGCTGGGGGTTTAATAATTAATAATAATTAAATTTTATTAATATAAGAGAAAAATGGAGCAAAATAAGGATTATGGGGAATTCCAGGTGGTTTAGTTGATGATGGAGAATTAGTTGCAGAAGCAGCTAAGAGAGAAGTTAAAGAAGAAACAGGTTTAGATGTTGAGCCATATGATTGTTTTTTCTTTAGAGATTTACCTATAGCTAATTAATTTTAAGGAGATCTTTATTTTGTAATTTTGATGCGAATGAAAAATCAATAATAAAAAGTTTAGATATAAGAATAAGAAATATAGAATTTTAAATGGGTTGATATAAATAATCTTTAAGAAGTATTTAACTGATGACAATTAATTAGTTTTTATAGATGAATAAATTTGGAATTACTTAATAAAGATTAATGCAATCTATTATCCAGTTTTCAACATCAAATCGATTTGGTACTCAACTTTTTAGTATGGATATGAAACCAAGAGTAATGTATGGTAAAGAGAAAAAATATTGTTTATTTAAGCCTAATTTATGATTATATTAAAAATAAAATAATATCAAATTTACAAAATATCTAAATCTGAAATCCTTTTTTTAGATGTAAAACAGTCAAAAAAAAAAAAAGATAAATATAAGAATATGAGATAAGAAAAATAATAACTTTTTCTAAATTAAGATACATTTATGTAATAATAAATAAGATATAAAAAGAATGGATATCATTGCCAAAATTATTTGATTAACCTACATTATTGAGGATACAATTTTATTTATAGCAATAACATGGAATATATAATCTTTAACAGAAACTGAAAAAAATTAATTAAAGTTAGTCATCCCATAAAAAATGTCAATAATTATAAGATAGTATGTTTAGATTCTATCAGAAAGTACAATAATTATAATAAGTACATTTTATCAATATTTTTGAGATTTAGCAAAAGATTTTTTATTTTTTCTTTAAATATTCTAAATATACATTCCTTAGAAATGATTAAGGACTTATCTAAAATTGTAAATTTAAGATCATTAAAAGTGGTTTAAGATTTAAAATATCCTTTTAAGTTCATAAAGAATTAGTTAAATTCAATAATCGTGATAATTGGTCAAT